CTATGATACAACAGCTATGATACAAAACTATGATACAACACTATGATACAACAGCTATGACACAACACTATGATACAACACTATGATACAACACTGTGATACAACAGATATGATACAAAACTATGATAAAAACTATGATACAACAGATATGATACAAAACTATGATACAACAGATATGATACAAAACTATGATACAACAGCTATGATACAACACTATGATACAACAGATATGATACAAAACTATGATAAAAACTATGATACAACAGCTATGATACAAAACTATGATACAACACTATGATACAACAGATATGATACAAAACTATGATAAAAACTATGATACAAAACTATGAAAAATCAAATATCTTTCCTTGGTTTGTATCACCAAAAGTCAATTTATATACTGTATGTTACCTTCTGCTTTAGGAAAACTGTGGTAGGCATTCATTCCTACTTTCTGGCATTTTATTGATCAAGAGTTAATCCTAAATCTGTACGCTTGTGGTGGATGAACCTTACCGAGACACTTTGTGTTGGTTTGTACCGTAATTTGTATCACAAATTGCAAATCCTCAAATTTGAGCAAGCTGCAACCTTTGGTGTTTCTGATTGAAAAGTGACAATTAATCAATTATCAAAACAGCTATTGATTCATTTTCTGTGGTTCAATTTGAAGTGTCTCAGCTCTCAGACAGACAGACAGACAGACAGACATACAGATAGATAGATATTAGGATGAATAAAATAGCCTACATAAACTGGGATTAGGGGTGAATACAGTGGGTGAGTTGCAGCATCCAAAAAATACTCCCTTCCTCCCCCCAACCTCTTCAACAGTACAACCCTCTACTGTCAGAGCTACAGTAAGAGAGGAGAGGACGGTGCTTCAGTAGTAAAACTGCATCAATCCCAACCAAACACATGCTTCATCCAGTCTGCATGCACAAATAGAACACAATAAGTGTGTGTTTTGGAGGAATATTAGAAAAGACATGTCAACTCTGAGCTCCATCTAGCGATCATCTGAAGGGAAACTGCTGCCAACAGACACTTCAAACTCTCCATTTAAGTGAATTATAATTCAACTTCCACTACTAAAGAGAGAACTGACCCTTAAAAGGATGCACGCGGCTCAAATCTAGTTATAACAGCAATAAAAGACGATCGCGAATGGAGTTGCTGGTTTACTCTCCACGACATTCACCCATCGTGGTGACCCGACAGTGAAGTGTGTGTCAAATATCCAAACTATTGAACGTTTCCACACATAAAACCATGCTTTTAATAACTGTAACAGCAGCAGTTTTGTACTCACCTGCAAGACACCGTGAGCTCAACTTTGGTGGCAGGTATCGCGGCGGTGAAAGGGTCCGCGTCCCCGATACACGCCATATTCATCGAGCTGCTGCTTGGTCGATCACAAACCGCCCCGTATCCAGCGCCTTAACGGCGGCATGAGAGGAGCCGAGAGAAGAGGGGAAATGGGGGGAAATTAAAACGAAACAAAAAAAGATAGCCTTGCAAGGAGAAGACAATAAGCCGTTTGTTTCAGGAAGAGAGAGAGAGAGTGCGAGAGAGAGAGATATACGCGGATGCGGAGGAGCTGCAGCGCGCCGGTGTCGCGTCTCTGTGCGCCTCGATGCTCCGGAGGAGAGAGGACGGTGTGAAGGGGAGGACACACACACACACACACACACACACACACACAGACATTCACATTAACAAACGCACGCGCACGCGCGCACACACACACACACACACACACTTTAACATACACACACATACACTTTAACACAGACACACGCACACACACACACACACAAACATGCACACGTTAACACACTTACAAATTAACAAATTCACGCACACACATACACACAAACATACATTTACGTTAGTTTAGACTATTTAACGCGGGTACGTATAGTTTAGTTTAATAGGGTTGGGCTGTGGAATTATGAGTTTAAATCCAATTTAAAACGCATAAATGTTAGCTAACGCTAAACACCGGACAGACAGGCTTACAGACAGTAAATTAACGGCATTTAACATTATTATTAACATGATAATTTCCGTTACTTTGGTCACGTATTCTGAAAGTACTTACCGGAAGTGGTAGTGTGTTGTCCCGTCTTCATTGACGCTGTCTTTATGAATTTAGTGTGTTRCAGTTCCTCACTCTGACCACTAGAGGGCATAATGAACACTCTTGACCGTGAAATAAACAAACTGTTTCCATCTTATGTCTCAGTAATTTCATTATTTTTTGTTTTTCTCTACATGCATGCTAGTCGTGCTCACGTGTATGTGCAAATAAGTAAATTAACGGCATTTAACATTGTTATTAACATGATAATTTCCGTTACTTTGGTCACGTATTTTGAAAGTACTTACCGGAAGTGGTAGTGTGTTGTCCCGTCTTTATTGACGCTGTCTTTATGAATTTAGTGTGTTGCAGTCCTCACTCTGACCACTAGAGGGCAACATGAACACTCTTGTGTAGACGAAGCATGAAGTTGTTTAGCCGGCTAGGTAGCTAGCTAACGTTAGCTTGCCATATTTTAATGCTAACATTATACTTGTTACAATAAAGAATGAACTGAAAGGTGTGCTGGTGGCCACCATCTAATTCAGTGCCCCATACCACATATTGCTATTTTCCAAGCTACCGTAGCCGTCATGTTTGTCGAAGCTGCATCATTTTCCAAAAATAATGCAGTGGATAGACTCATGCTGAGACATGGGGGGTGTAGTTACACTTTAATGTAAGTCAATGTATGCGTGTGCAGGTTTTCTCTGCCAATTAAGAAAAACAACTTACAGGAAGCGTTGCAGAAGAGACCTTCAGACCTTCAGACAGCTGAGAAGAGACTGTATTTAAAGTTCAATAAAGTAGACTTTAGCAAAACAACCGCAATAGATCTGCAAGTGGTTGATAAGGCTGTTGATCAATAAACTCATTAATTACTTGGCTGGGAGCTGAGATTCAAACATTGTAAAGTTCACATTCAGGACAGTTTTGGAGCAACAACTTCCTACTTTGCTTCTTCTTTTGATGTAAATCAGACTTTGTTATTTGTGTCTGGTGATTCAGTGGGATGTGAGGGGTTGTTATTAAATGATCTTTCCCAGCAGCAGGTCAACAATTCCTGCTCGAAAAAAATGAGCCGCTTTGTTATTTAATTACTTGTTTGCACTAATGTTATGAGCTCTTCTAATCATGTGGATGAGGTTGAATTATCCAGAAGCTAATTTACCTCACAGCCGTTCTTTCAAATATTAAAGTAACTGAGATGCATAAAGGCAAATAAAACAGAAAGTTAGCTTTACTATCTAAATATTAGACATTATCGTTTCCAGGGGAGCCAACTGAGTTATCTTTATGGGTGGGAGAAAACACAATTATCTGTGTATGGATTATAAATGCAATGTAATAAAACTAACAGTGGGACTTACATATAGTAATATAAGTTCAGGAACAATGTTAATTTCGAAATAATTAAAGATGACAGCAAAAACATCTAGCTGACAGGTAATTAACTAAACATAAAGCAAAAGTTAAAATGGATAAATTGTGTCACACATGGATTATTACTATACCTGCAACATACTTTCTTTGTTCTCTGCCTCCTTCAAACGACAGGTAAGAAGGTGTGTCACTGGAGCTGAGGCCGGTGTCAGAGCCAGATGACAAAGACCACCTGTGGAGCAAAGCAAACTCAATTAACCAGCCCAGCATGAAAATGAGGGCTAAATATAGGGCCGCGTGTGTCAGCTCCAATTAGTCTGAAGAAATAGACAGAGGGTTCACTCTGCAGGTCAGACACCTGTTGAATGTGCCAGATGAAGAGCCGTGTGTTTTTCTGTGGAGGTGATGTTGTTCTCACTGACGTGCCTAAATGTAGCTTCTCAGCATCCTGTTAGCGTCCTGCAGAGCAGTGGTTCCCAACTTTTTTTTGTCTCAAGACCACTTAAAATGAAGCAGTTGCATATGTCACGAAGTGATGTGCCCATCTCCGATTGTTTTATGTTAATATTCTTTTATATATCTCTGAGAGGTAAAACAATCAGGTATTACCCCAAAACCAAGAGGCTGCAGCCATGCGAGCATCTCTGTGGGGCTCCACTGGCAGAAGGGTGCTTTAAGCTAAAATGCTATGTCATCATGCTAACATGCAGATGTTTAGCAGGTATAATGTTTTCCACTGTTTACCATCTTAGTTTAGCGTGTTAGCATGGTAATGTTTGCTAATCAGACTTAATCACAAAGTACAGCTGAGGACTTCCTGTCCTGGAAAGTGAAGTCAATGCTGAAGTGCCTTAAACCTGCAGTCTCTCTAATGACCACCAGGGGGCGACTCCTCTGGTTGTATAGAAGTCTATGAGAAAATGACTCTACTTCTCTCTTGATTTATTACCTCAGTAAACATTGTAAACATGAGTTTATGGTCTCAATCTCTAGTTTCAAGTCTTCTAAACCAAAGTATAATATAAAAGCAAGAACATAAAAGTCATAAAAGTAATACATGTAATTCTTTACATGATTTTATGGCATGTCTTATAAATTGCTGTATGACTATTCATTTACCATCAGGATTTATTTTTGTTATTTGATAGTAATTTAGGAATGCATCATCTAATCTTCTTCACATTTTTGTGAATAAAATATAACGGCATGGTACTTTTTAACATTCTTGTATTTTGATTGATAGCGTAGTGGTAAAGGTGCTCAATGCCAAATTCAGAACATATAATTTGCCTCCACACATCTTTCCACTTGGCTAAAATGGTGCCATGTTACACCACAGCCCCCTAATCTCTACCTGAATTCAGCACCTGGCAATTTATACAACATCAAGACGCCCACAAGATGATCTGACTCCCATCTTCCTCGAAGACATTATGGGGAAGAAATGAACAAGAAATTCAATTTTGTGTGTTCTCATGGTGTCTCTGTGGCTGCATCTTTTCCCTCTTTGAGACTTTTATTCAGGTAAAACAGACAAAATGAGCATTGAGCAGATATTTAAATTTTTGCAAGCAACCGTCTCTTTCTGCTTCATGCCAGGAATACAGAAGACATTTGAAATCATAATCAAGTGCGAAAAAAGCAACCAACCTCTCAGCTTCACACATTTAATGACTTGTTTTTGCCGTCGTTGAAGACAAGTACACTGTGTTCTGGATTAGGTCTGTTGGGAATTTAAGAAAGTTAATACAACCACTTTTTATTTGTTAATTGTAGAAAACAGCCACAGCTGTATTGGCTCTATGAAACATATATAAATAGTGGATATTATATGATAAGATAATGTGAATGCAGTAGACTGAAATATCTCAACAACCTCTAAATAATATCCAAACATACTGACATACTGTATGCAATGTGTATGTGACATATATGTGATGAGAGGTCATAATAATAAAGAAAAAGGGGGAACCACTGCAACAGGATGTTGAGAAGCTACATTGCGATCGCCTCGGAGGACTGGAAAATGCTCATCAGTGAAACCCACAGCACCTCTCAGAATACACATTGCTCTGTATTTGTCAAATCTAACAGGTGTTTGACCTTTATTTAACTAGCAAAGGGCCTCGCTGAGATTAAAAAAAACATGCCGACACCAGCATTTAGCTGGAGTACACCCTCACAGAGCAGCTTGCATGGCTGCAGAGAGCCTGAGGTTACACAATGGGTCTAAATCATCTCAGCCTTTATTCAATACAAGCAGAATATGAGCTTCCTGCAGCAGCTGAGGGAGCGATCCAGATGAAGTGGTGAGGTGAATTAGAGAGGGCTTTGTCCGACTCCTTGGTAGCTATTTCACAAATGAGCTTTAATATTGGGTAATATTTCATCAGCTCTTTATTGGGCAACTGCTTGTACTCCAAGATAAATTTGAATTCTTTGGAGATCCATTTTGACTATAACAATCAAGATTACATTTTGATTGAGGCAGTATTTAAAAGAATCCTTGGAAACGTTATGAATTTCTTCCGGGATGGCAGGAATATCTTTTTCTCTAAAGATTCATTCTTTAATATCTGAATCTGAAGGTTGAGTTGAGCAAGTACTTTAATTAACACGCTTGCATGACTTGATTGTGGGTTTAATCCCTTAAATTGTAAAAGTAGTTTTTGCTTTTACGCTGTGAGTGTATCTGGACTGACAGATTTGTATTATATTCGTGCCTCAGTGACACAAATAGATTTCAAATGATCAGAGTGTGAAGCTGCTCTGACGGCTTCTAATGGCTCCCTCCTCAATCTCCCGTTCTCTTAATTTGCCAGAAAGATACACATTCTGCAGTTTCTCTAAAACGCATTCAGGTCCTCAGCCCTGCTCGACCCGCCGGTGGATCCATTATTTCAGGCCCACATGGTGCAGCTGCTCAAACTTTATTTTAAACTCTCATTAAGATCCCAAACTTGCTGAAGATATTAAATATATCAAGCCACAGTGTGATGAACAGTGCGTTAAGTTTGATTTGATCAAATCGTAACTGTGTCAAAATAAAGTATAGTATACTATTTACATCTGCCACTAACATTTATTTTCATTATCAATTAATCTGCTGATTATTTTCCTCAATAGATAAATTCATTGTTTGGTCCCCAAAACATCAGAAATCACGAGAGCACGAGGTGACCTCATCAAATGTCTTGTTTTGGCCAAAAGATATTCAGCTTATTGTAACGCCAGACAAGAAAAAGCATCAAATACTCACATTTGTAAAAGCTCAAATGTTAAAATATTTGAAAGTTTTCTACACTGATGTTTCTATGACATGTTGATTTTAGTGCTGATTAAAGGGCACATCGACTTTAATGAAGCTTCCGTGTGAAAGGAACCCACCCTCAGTAGAAAGAAGAAGGAATCACCTGGTGTGATGTGACATAGATCCGTATGAAAGGGTCTTTCAAGTGTAGTTCTTGCTGAGGCAGGTCAGAATCCGTCTCTGAGGGGGCGGAGATCTGCTCAGCGGAGAGCAGCAGGGCCCCGAGTGAAAAAGAAAAAAAGTGCACATCTCTGCATCTTGAGAAACAGCTGGTTGTGCTGTTTTTAAATGAGGATTAATGGACTTGCATCAGAGAGAGAGAGAGAGAGAGAGAGGCCACTGACAAGCATGAGCAGCATGTGATGGCTTTGTTTAACAAGTCTGTGTGCAGCGGGAGGTGGCCGGTGATTGGTGCTGCCTGTCAGACAATCCTGCAGATTTATGACGGCAGACCCTGATGGCCGCCTCCGAGTCCCTCATTCGGCGTCTGAACTAAGGCTCGGTATGAGCGTTCCTTGCTGGATTGTAGCAGCATCACATCTGTGTGGTTAAGACGCGTAACATTGTTGTTCCATTCCGTCATTTTTTTCAACTGTTTGCCTTTAAGAACACTGCGATCATCTGTCTATAGATGTCAGGGAAGCCAGCTAACTGGATTACCAATGGGGCAAAGTCACCAGGTACCAGACCCTCAGGGGCCCCAGACCCTCAGGGAACCTAACAGCTCGTTATTCTTGATGTCATTGGTTAAATATACAGCACTAACGACACGGTCTCGTGGATATCCAAGTCACCGAGTGGTCATCGCAGTGAATCAGTGGATCTAAGCTGCTTCTCTTGTGAGCCCGATGACTAAAGTGTCAGTGGAAGTATTTTTGGACATCGACAGCTCTGAGGATTACTCACACCGTCGCTGGTCAGTCCTGAAGCTGCTGCTACTGCCATCTTGTGGTCCTCGCTTCAAACACGTGAAAGCAAACACGGGTTTCCTCACATAAACCACAGCCAGCTGTGGGAGATTAAGAGCAGGAGATTCAGAGGGAAACAGGAATGAGGAGCTCCCTCTCAACAGCAGTGTTGGACGTAGGATGTTGTGTGTGTGTGTGTGTGTGTGCACGCGCACGTAAACGCTCATCAATGAAGTCAAAGAAAGCTGTAATAATATAGATTTATAACTAGTTATTACTGTTAACCCACTGTATATCAATAAGCACTTAAATGTGTCTATAGCTTGTTATAAACCATTTGTATACCGCTTATAAAGGCTTAATAGGGGGACTTGAAGTAACGTGTTACCACAATAAGAGACGTGTTACCACAATAAGAGCTTAAGATTGTCTAAAAATCAAAGAAAGAAATCACAGGCAGACAAGGAACTGAGGAACTACTTTTCTGAGATACATTTGTAAAATTCAAATAAAAGAAACTACATTTTACAGTAGACATTAGAATAAGTAACCTACAGATAAATGAATAATTATTTAAATGAGTGACAGAACTAAGAAGAAACAGAGCTGATTGTTTTTGCCAGATGGCGTTTATTGTCACCGAGGCATCTGACATTAGAATCGCTACAGAGTCCGCCATTAGGGAACGGCTACTAAAACTCCAGAGTGGGAACGTCCAGGATATGTGGAACGGGGACAGCATGACAAACAAAACAAAGACAAAATAATAATTAAACTAGCCGTAGGCCACGAAACACAATCTGTCACCTCACTGGAGGAGAAGCTCCGTCCGAAGCTTTAAAGCTCGGCAGACTTCCCGCCAAACTCTGGTCCTCTCTGGCTCTCGTGTGGTCCCACAAAACTAACATTCAGTCACACTTCCTTTCTTTAAATACATTGTTTACATACATTAGATTTGTACTCGAGTAATGCCAACGACTTGCTGGTTCACCGAACATTCAGAAGTGACGGTTAAATCGGCGGAGAGACCAGGAAGTCTCCAGGAAGGCCCCACGAGGATCACAACCCGGAGTCCATGACATGAAGCCCTCTTGTGGGGTCGACAGAGGAAGGCGAGCGCACGACTTTAAGACGACGACTCGGCAGTGAAGATTCAGGGAGCGAACGTACGCTTTTACATGCGGTGACACGTGAACGACAAGTGAAGCACATCCTCTAAACGCTGAACCGGCTCACATTCACGAAACATTAAGTGCATCTCAAAGACCAACTGTGTCGGTTTTAACAAGTGCTCAAGAGTTAAAGGATTAGTTTGACACGTATTCGCTTTTCGCCAGCGTTACACGAGAAGATCAATACATCTGCAGCTAGTTAGCTTAGCATAAAGACTGGAAGAAAGAGGGTGGGGGAGGGGGGGGGGCTAGTCTGGCTCCGACTGAAGATAACAAAATATACCAAATAAGTTTTGTTTGTTTCAGGGGAGACACTCGAGGCAAAAACTGTTTTTCATGCAATGATCAATTTTGAGATCTTCTTTAATTAGTTTCTTCCTTCAGACTAATGGAAAGAAAACATCCAAAATACACATTTAAGTTTATATTTTACTACATTGTCTATTTGCGGCTGTAGATTTATACTAAAGTCACCAAAAGTGAGAATTAGATAAGGCCTCATTTGCATATTTAAACATAACATTTCAGAATAGTAATAAATTGTATTTTTTTACCTGTTGGTTTTTCGTACAGATTAAATGATCAAGATATAACGTGATAATTAGTGAGCTCTGGAGGAGCTGGAAGTTGTGTTGTTGTCCCCCCCTCCCCCTTTACAGTCTTTATGCTAAGCTAAGCTAACCAGCAAAAGAACCCTCCAAACAATCGTTTTTCCACAAAAAGTCGAACATTGCTTTACAGTGAGGCCGTTACTGTACAGTGCAGGACAGCAAAGACGACGAGTTCACATCATTTTGGCCGCTGATCTTGAACAGTTGCAGAAATTGAGGCGCGCAGAAGAGGAAGTTAAGGGGAACAATGATTTGTCTTTTTTCACATACAGTAAAGCCACTTTTGTTATTTCGATCTTGTTCATGTGGGGGGGGTTTGATTTCAGAGAAACAATCCAAGCTGGAGACCTGGGTTGGGAAGACCAGCTACCAACCCGTTAGCTCGACGTCCTGTTTTTTCTTTCCCTAGCAGAGCACAATTAGTGCGTTTGTCGTGTTCTACTCTTAATTAAACGTCTTCAGCGTGAAAGAGAAAAAGATGAGCTCAATCTGCAAAGAGCCATTAACGATGCAGTGAATTAAAACCGATTAGCACGACCCTCTGACCCACAGAGAGTCGGAGAAAAAAGTGATTGTGATTCCTTCTGTTGAGATGAGACTACGTTCCTGTTGGCTCAGTCATAAAGGTTACATTGCAGGTGAAGGTATGTGTCTTTAGGAGCAGTGCAGGGCAGCAGCATCAAAAGAGGCCGTTAGTGTCCTTCCACAGCGTTCAGTTACTGGCCACCTCGTCCGCATTGTCAGCCGCCTCTAAAGTGCTGTCCAGTCCACCGCGAGCACGCCAGATCTTCACAGTCCGGTCACTGGAAGACAGGAACGTGGAACAAGTGAGAAAGAACAGTCTAATCTGATTGGTTAAGTCCTGCCTATCGTCTTTATGTTGTTTTTTCCTCTGTTCAAGCTTTATGCATCGATGGAAAAAATTGTAAAAACAACAGCGGCAGTCCCTTAAAGAAGCAGCACCAGAGTCTCTGAACGCGTTCTCAATCTAACTGAAGGCCATAGAAAGTGTGTGCGTTGGCGTGGCTGCAGAGAGACTCACTCGGAGGCGGTGAACAGGTGGCTGCTGTTGGTGGAGATGCCGTTGATGGGGCTCTCGTGGCCCTTCAGCTCCCCCAGAGTCCCCAGCGTGTCCGTGTTCCACAGCTTGAGCACCCCTCCTCTGCAGCCGCTCAGCAGGGCCGGGGACCCAGGGACGACACCCAGCGCACAAACCCAGTCCCGGTGGGCGTTGGGGACTTGCTGTTGGAGGGAAGGATCGAGGGTTTTTTAACAGTCATGAAGGATCTACTGTCATCTGTAAATGATGTTGAAAAGTAACTTTTGAATTGAAAAACATATCTGTAGTTAAAGCACTTTAAATTCCGTTGTTGATGAGACACAAATAAACCTACAAAGGAATCCATCAAATCAAACCAGATATTTTACTGCTTCCCCTCCTCATTGGTCTCCTCGCTCCAGTACCTGCAGCAGGTCTTTGCGGTCCAGGTCCCACTTCTTGATGCCGTTGTCTCGAGAGCCGCTGAATAAAATGTCGCCCTGGACCACCAGCGACTCGATGCCGTCGTAATGGGGAGGTTCAAAGTTGTGTGTGGGGCCGATGCTCCCCAGGGAGCCCTCAGTCACGTCGAACAGCTGCAACAGCCAGAAGAAAGCTGAATGTTAACCGTTGTGTGTTTACAGCCACAGCAGCTGTGTGGTTTCTCTGCATCTTATTATACTCAAGGTAGTCACGCTAGGTTACTCTTATGATGGAGCTTTGTGTATTTTATTCCTTTATTCTTTGGCTTTCTCAGACGGGAGCTCAAGATAAACATTAGGATCAAGTGCCGGGTGTAAGTCCAGGACATGACGAGGAGATGGGAACACTGGGAACACACCTTGATGTAGTGGTCCTTGGACCCGGTGATCACCAGGTCTTGGTTGTTTACAGACTGATCCACCGTCAGACACATTACGGGGCCGAGGTGACCGGTAAGTTTCCCCGTGGATGCAAATCTGACACAGAGGAGAAAAAAAAATTAATTAATTTAAAATAGTCTTTACAGCACAAAGGCAAACAAAGATTGTCAAAGTTTGGAACATTCAATCTTGGTGCCTGTTGATTTAAAGTTATTTTCAATCATCCAGGCCGCTGATTTAATAACATGTTGTTCTTTCTCAGAGGAACAATTCATCAAAACGTGTGCGAGCTGGCTGCAAGTGATGGATGACAGCTTTGGATTGAACGCCTGTCAGGTTTCACATTGAATCAGGAAGAAGGCCGTGAATTAACTCACAATGTGCATTATTAAAAATGGTAATGATATTGATGAATCTTTCCTGGGCTGACAGGACTTTGATTATGATGTGTTAGAGGCAAATCTTAATGACGGTCCATCCAACAGTCGAGAAGATATTTCACTAATAGATCACAGCGTTAAAGCAGACTGCCATCCCCAAACACACAAAAACACTACATTCACTTGTCAAAAGCCCACATGATCGAAATGCAGAACACTGTCTGAGGTATTTAAATTTAGCTGCTCTGTTTACCTTCTGAGATCCCAGACTCTCACTGAGTTCCCGGTGGCGGCGTACAGAACCATCCCGTTGGGGTTGAGAGCGATCTGGTTGATCTGGTTCTCTCCTGCTGGGATGGTGACCGTCCGGCTGGTGTTTGACGGACAGACGTCCCCAACATTGACCTGACCAGAGGACCTGGAGACGCATGGAAGACGCATGGATGACTCTGCAGAGGCATTCCCACACTCACTGAGGCATTATGTGTGGAAGGTTTGGTTTAGACGTGACATTAGTCAGGTTGTTATTTACTTGTGATCTTGTCACAAGTTGCTGAAAACAGTCTCATTACAGATTCACAGAACAGATGTGAAGCTGAGGCAATACTGCAATGTTTAAATTTACATTCAGGAATTATCTTCCTCTAAGATAATTCAAGGCCTAATATAACTGACAGTAATGCATAATTCATGATGTCAAGTTCTACAAATGCATGAAGAGTAACACTTTGTTTTTTTATTTCAGTCTCAACATAAGAGGAAAAGGCATTTTCACACCGTCACACTCACGTCAGCATTCGGATGCACTTGGCCGAGTCGCGGATGTCCCAGACTTTGATGTAGGAGGTGGAGACGGTGAAGACCAAACTGGAGCTGTAGCGGACCGACACCACGTTGTTGGGGTGACCGGCCAGGGACATTATCTCCTGACCCGTCACCAGATTCCACACCTTACAGGTCCGGTCTGCAGGAAGACACGCAGTCTATCATCTCAACAGAACTATTTAAAAAAAGCTGCTGCATTCTGAACTAGTTATGAGGCGAGAGAGTAACTTGTGGTCTAAAGGATGGAGTCACAAGTGTTGAGAAGATAAAAGCAATAATCAACGCGTTTGAACATTATGCAGAAGAGGTTAGAGAACAAAGATGGCTTGTAAAATACGTCCGCTATTAGATATTGATAGTCGTACTTGAACAAAGGATAGAAAATTGCATAATTCGATACTGGAGCAAAAGAGTGCAGCTCTGACAAGACTGACAGGAAATGTAATTTGCAGCGAGGCCTAAAACACAACATCTTAATGACAACAAAACTAAATGGAAGTGAGAAAGAGCAGCTACTTTATCTGTGGATAAATGACAACTTCAATCTAGGTGATTGCCAATATATTCACCTCCATTTATCATCGTAAAAATCTCCTCCACCGTGAGTTACACTGTGTGTACAATGTCACTTCACTCCGTCACCTCATTTCTCCACACACTGTGCATATGACAATCTTAATTAATCCCCGTCAGCTTTTATTTGCCGTTATATAAAAGCATAACAGCATGTCAGAAGCGTGAGAAATTAGCCGTAAGAAGCAGAGACACGTGAGGAATACTGATGAGACGGAGAGGAATTATGGGTGAAGAGGTGAAGGGAGGATGGAGGGAGAAAGGGATTGTGGGAGTTTAACCTTTGGATCCCGTGAAGAGGAGGTCATCGGTGCAGTCTACGCAGAGAACGGCTTTACTGTGTCCCTCGGCCACGTGGACGCACTGCAACGTCGCCGACCGGCTGCTTTTAGTGGGAGGCACCGGGTAGATCACGCCCCTGGAAAACACACACACACACACACACACACACACACACACACACACACACAC